GCAAGCAAGGAACCGGAGCTGCAGATTGGGGAAGAAGTCGGCGGCAGTGCCGGGAACTCACGGGGCTGGCAAAAATTGAAGGAACTGAGAGCAATTAAGGTAAGCCCAAGCCAATTCAAGCAAGATCAAAGGAATTTATGGCTGTTGCTTACCGAAAATTCAAAGGAATTTGCACCCACAACCGGCAAGAGCAGCAACCGGACAGAGCAGAGCAGATTCGGATTGTGCAGAGGGGTGGGGGAAATTTCTGGGTTTACTAGGTGTCTAGAACAAGAAAATGGGGAAAATTCCCCAAGCTTTGCCGGATTTTCGGCTGGAAAAGGCGGGGGCGGTAACGGGGGGATCGTCGGGTGCAGAGGGTCGAGGGAGGAAGGAGAAGCAGAGCAGAAACACGTGGCTGGTGAGGAAGAAAAGAAAGAAAAAGAAAAAGCAGTGGATCCTTATCCAAATTTTCTTTCTTTTTAGTCCCTCAACTTTTGAAAATTTTGCTATTAAGTTCAAAATAATATTTCTTTCACACATAAGTCCCTAATTAAATGCTAAAATACCTCAAAATTTTGGGATATTACAGAAGTCAAGGACGGGGAAAAACAAGGGGAGTGACGAGTTAAAAGGCTAGCCATTTTATAAATTGACTATGAATTTTAGATATAGATCATGATCTTGTAAGTTAGACTGTATTTGAAGATTTTATGATATTAAAGCAAATTAAAAAAAAATTTGATTTTCAAATTTTGATGGTATCAGATTGTGGTATGATAAGTTCCGAGCCTTGTGCATTTGTGGGATCCTCTCACGAGTGCACGGCATCTGTCGCGCCTCGAATTTGGGTTCTGGGGTGTGACAGATTTAGTGGTATTAGAGTTTGGGTTTAAATTAAGAGCTTTGGATTAAATTAAGCACCTCCAGATTGAGTGGCATCAAAGCAGATTCAGTGGTATCAGAGCTTAGTTTAATTAAATACCTAGGTTTAATTGAATACCTAGGATTTGTTTAGAACTTGGTTGGCCAATGAATTTTAGAACCATGGTGAGATGAGTGATGGGGTTATATAAGGGGCAATTCTTATTCATGTGCCTGAATTTTCTAATCCATTTTGATGAGATGGTAATCGGATTGTTCTTGTTTCTTGCCTTCATACCCTATGTAGATTCATGAAATTAATCTTGTCCGCCATGTTCTTAAGACCTTGTTTTGAAACTTGGTCATTTTCTGATAGTCCGCACTGTTGTACCTATGATTTTGATGATTACAAAATACATTTGAGTGACTAATTGGTTTATTTAAGTGTGTAGTTAAGTTGCTAAAAGATTGCAAGTAAACTTGGATTGCACTAAAAATAAACCAAAAGGATTCAAATGTGCAGAGAGCCGGCTCTGGTAAAGTGCAGTCGGCTCTGGTGAAATGGAATGCAGAAAGCCAGCTCTAAAAGCTCCAGCCGGCTCTACAGGCAAAAATTTGAAGACCGTTGCTTGGCGCGCGCGGAGAAGACGCAAAGCTGGCTCCAACTTTATAGCCGGCTATGAGGGTGCATTTAATGCACAACGGTCGAGTCATTTGAAGATTATTAATGTATTTAAAGTTGGAGTTGCAAAGCCGGCTCAAAGTTTTGCAACCAGCTCTCGAGAAAAATAGAATGGTCTGCAAGCCCGGATAGTCGGCTCTAAGAGTGTAAACCGGCTCTTCAGAGTTGGCTCTAGAAATCTAAGCCGGCTCTCCTGACAAACCTGCAGCTCGAGCTTTTTGTCCTGCAGTGCATTTAATGACCTCCAACGGCTAGTAACGGCTATTTTCGAGCAAGGGGGTATAAATATGGTTGGTAACAGATCTGAAGAAGGTTAGAGAGCATTGTATTGAATATCTTTACCTACATACATGAGTTTTAACTTGAGTTTTTGATCTTTGAGAGATCTTTGTTTGTAATCCTCTTCTTGTGCTATTAGTGAGTGATCTTGGGGGTGTGTTGATTCCTTCAAGAGTGATCTGTAGAGAGGATCTTTGGGATTAAAGTGTAAAGGGGTGAGATTTGAGAGAAACCCTTCTTCTTGTAAAGGATTGAGTAGCTTCTTTAAGCCACCATTGTTTTTGCTAGTGGAGAGTGTGGAGGAAATCCTTGGTGAGTGAAGCCAAGGTAGAGGACTAGGCTCCAAGTGGTTGGACCGAATCTCTATAAAATCATTGTGCAAGCTCTTCTTCTCAACTCTCTCTTTAATTTTTGTTTGGTGGTTGCAAAGAGGCGAAAATTCTCCAACTCCAATTCACCCCCCCTCTTGGAGTGCATTGAGTCAACACGCACTTGTTTAGACTTGTTCCTTGAATAGAATTTTTGTATGCTCTTTTGCCACAATTGTAAAATCTGAAGAGTTGCAGAAATCTGTTGTTATTGATCCTGTTGGTCTCTACAGCATAGCTGGTTGAGAAATTTGTTCTGTTTGTCACATGACCAGTGGAAAATGGGCAACGCTCTACTTTGTAAGAGATTCAAGGCTATTTTAGCAAATGTTGTGTGTTTTCTAGATGCGTTTTAGGAGCTGGATAACTTGGTAATTTCGTTGCTCATTATCTTTCTGAAAGTCTTATAGTGAAGTTTCATTTTTTCCATTTGGAGCTTCATGGTCTTTTCATGTGGCTCATTTTTCTATATTGGTTAATCAAAAACAGTGATCATTCAATTGAAATTGCCATGTTTTTGTGAAGATTGGCAAGTTGTCATAAAGTTAAACTCTCTATTGTTGACAATCTCTACATTCTTGATACCTGAAACTGCTTAAAACTCTTGAAATCCGTCTTGAATCTTTCTTGAGATTGCTTTGTTCCTGTTCTTGAAACTGAAATCCAAAGGAAATGGATAATGATTATTCAAATCCTCATTATCTCGATATTTGTCTGAAATTAATTCTTGCATTGTTCTTGGAATCTTATCTTGAACCTTGCTTGGAGTAAAGTCATGTTAGCATCCTTTTCTTGAAAATCAATTGATATTTGGTTTTGGAATCTATTTTGAATTGTCCTTGAAAACCATTCTTGTCCTGACCTTTGCTCTTGTTCAAATTCTGTATACTGCTCTTGCTCAAATCCTGCATATTCTGCTAGTTCTTGTTTTAGTATACCTATTGATCTTCTTGATTTTTGATTTTGTTCATATGGACACCTTTTTAGGAGGGGTGATGATTATCAAAAAATACCTATATGAGGCATCCTAATTCTTGTCTCTTGCAAGTGTTAATCTTTGTATTCTTGATGTCTTAGCTATGATTTGACTCTAGGATGACTTGATTGTAAATCTGCTTAACCTCTATGGGCTACGAGATGAAGGGATAGTCTTTGAAGTACCTGATGCCCTAGAGTTTTGTTCCAAGAGAAATGGTTCTTTCATTTGGCTGCTTTGATTTTTGTTTGCCCTTTTAATTAGAAGACAGTAATCTTTTAAGTATCCTGATCCCCACTATTAATTATTCTGTTAATTAATTCGTGTTACTTGGGGTGCTCAATCTTGACATCCTGGTTATATCTGCTCTTGAATCTGTGTTCTGGTTGTCATTATTGAAATCTCTTTTGTGGGCCTAATCCTTGAATTCTATTGCTTGTTTCATAGTTAACTCTTGTCTCTCAATTTTGACTGCTTGGTTAAATTTGATCTTGATTCTTGGTGAATGCCATTCTGTTGTTGAATTTTTGAGGCATTCTACCTTACACTCTTATGTTTCAGTATTCTTTCAAGCATTCATATTTTTTGCTGATTTCATTCTAATGCTATTCTGGAAATTTCACATGTCATTTGATGGGTCTAGCTTTTAACTCTTGTTAATTGCTAAAATCGATCTCTTGATTCCAGTTGCTTTGTTAAACATGACCTTGCTTATTGGTTAACCTTGTTATGGCAGAATTTGTAAGGCATCCATGCACTTGTTCATTCATTCATGATCCATATATCCATTGGATACTTATCTGTCTTTGATAGAGTTCCAAGTTTTGTTGTACTCGTCTTTAAATCCCTGTCATTCTTTGTCAACTCGTCTTGTGTTGGGTTCATAGCGTAACCCCACAATTGTTCTTTTGTGGCTTTGGCAGGATTTATTTTTATTCCTTGTGCTTCTCATATCACCCCAGCCTCTAGTAGCTTGTTTCATGGTAAATTCTGTTTAGTAGTTAGTGTTCTGCTTCTATGATTAGTTGTAGTTTGATATCAAAGTGGCGCAGCGGAAGCGTTGTAGGCTATGTTCTGTTCATAAAGAGTTGGTGACACATTTGTTTTGTCTTGGATTGGGTGAAGCCATTCACCACTTGAAATGATCCCCAATTTGAGTTTTGGGGACAAAACTCCTTTTTAGGAGGGTGGGATGTAATATCCCAAAATTTTGTGATATTTAGCACTTAGTTAAGGACTTGATTGTGAGAAAATATTGTTTTGGGGCTTATTAGCTAATGTCCAAACTTGAAGGACTTAAAAGAGTAGAAATTTGGATAAGGACCGGGTATTTTTTCTTCCTTCTTCCCCAGCCATTTCTCGATTCTGCTCTTCTTCTTTTTCTTCCCCTGCACCGAATAAAGCCCAGCCACCAATAGCAGCCTTCCCTTGAGAGAAATCGGTAAGAAGCTTGGATTTTTCTCTTCTTTTCTTGTTCAAGAACAAGATTGGAGCCTTGAAATCTTCCCCCTGCAGGAAAGCATCCGGATCTGCTCTGTCCGGTTGCTGCTCTTGCCGGTTGTGGGTGCAAATTCCTTTGAATTTTCGATAAGCAACAACCATTAATTCCTTTGTTCTTGCTTGAATTGCCTTGGGTTTACCTTAATTGCTCTCGGTTCCTTCAATTTTTGCAAACCCTGTGAATTGCCCCTGCAGATTCCCGCCGGCTGCTCCCCCCTGCTAGGCTCAGTTCTGCAGCTGCTAAATTCTGGTATGATGGCCACTTCTTTAAGCCCTAAATTAGCCATTTATTTGCTGGCTGTATTGTCCGAATTTAGCTAAAAATTGGGGATGAATTCCGATAGTTTTAGGAAAAAGTTTAAGCATTAATTCAAGTGGGATTTATGTGATTGCGTGTTAATTAACTACTGCTGTGATTTGTGGAGAAAATCCCATGAATTAGCTAGTGTTTTGGCCAATTTTGGAAGTTGCAGTACTGTTCACAGCGGGAGCACTGTTCACGAGTACTGTTCACAAGCACTGTTCACGAGTACTGTTCATGCACTAATGGCCAATGATAGGAAGGTTTAAATGTTTAGTTTGTAATATAAGAATAATTTGGAGATGTCTGGTAATGTGGAGATTGATAGGAACAGCATCGTGATTAAGGGGTAGTCGTGGTGATTTTACTTTTGAATCTGTGGTACGATAATTAATTCTTGGATATTTTGATTAGGTTTCTGATCGTTTTGTCAGTTTAGCACTGAGATCGAGTCTTCGGTTTTATGCAAGTGAGGTAAGTAAATTTATGGTAATGCCCGTACAGTTTTTAAAAGCATGTTTTGACTTGTTTTTGAAGTGGTGGCGGGACTAAACCCGTTTTACACAAGCATGACTGATTTGAAGTGAAATTTTTATGCTTTTCATTAAATTGAGCATGCCTACTTGAAATTTAATTGATTGTTCTGATGATTTGAAAGTGATTAGTGAATTAAGATTTTTCTGTTAACTTCTGCCTGTTTTGTCTCCGATGTGGTTATGTTATTAATAATCCTGCTAGTGGGGGTTAAACGCTAGCACATGTCGACATGTTAGTGATAGAACCGGTTCGTTCAAGTGTAGCCTGCCAGTGGGAGGTTTATAACACTGGCCATGACCTATAGATGAGATGTCTATTTCGTTCCCCTACTGTATCCGTTTTTCGTGATTGCACATGTTGGCATGCTATAAGTTTAATTAAGGGCTATCCATATTTAGTTACTGAGTTTATCTCATAGTTTTTCCTTGTTCACCATTTCAGGAAGCGAAGTCAAGGACGGGGAAAAACAAGGGGAGTCACGAGTTAGAAGGCTAGCCATTTTGTAAATTGAATATGAATTTTAGATATAGATCATGATCTTGTAAGTTAGACTGTATTTGGAGATTTTATGATATTAAAGCAAATTAAAAAAATTTTGATCTTCAGATTTTGATGGTATCAGATTATGGTATGATAAGTTTTGAGCCTTGTGCATTTGTGGGACCCTCTCACGAGTGCACGGCATCTGTCGCGCCTCGAATTTGGGTTCTGGGGCGTGACAACACTAGTGCTGGTGAGAGTTTGGTCGTAGATACTCCCTCAATTGAGTATTGGGAAACTGTATTTGAAGAAAAGCAAGAGAGGCTAAAGCATCAAAAGGAAGACATTGAAGCAAATTTGAAGAATCAGCGTATGCAACCTGGAAAGATTGCAAGGAAGGAAGTTGAAGAGTGGCTAGAGAAAGTAGGCCAACAGATTGGCATAAAGGTTGAAGGTCTGATCAACCAAGGGGAATGTTCCTCATCAACCAACCTCAATAAAAACATTGAAGAATTGAAGCAAACACTTGAGCAAGGAAAAGAATTTACTAATACTGGTGTGAGTTTGGTCATAGATGATCACTCAATCAAAGGAGTTCCACTACTTGTTGAAGAATGCAGGGGCAGGGATGATATACAAGATCAAATTCTAGAATGGTTGAAGGGAGATGAAGTTACAAGAATTGTAGTTTCGGGAATGGGCGGTGTGGGCAAGACAACAATTATGAAGCAAGTCCACAACCTACTCTTGAAAGAACCCCAATTTAACAAAGTTATTTGGGTAAAAGTGGCAAGAGACTTTGACATTATTGTCCAGCAAAAAAAGAAGTTGGATATTCTTAAGTTTCAGAAAAGGATTGCAAGTAGCTTGGAATTAAAATTGGAGCCCGAGGATCATGAGAATGAAATCAAGCTTGCAGGATTGATTTCACAAAAGTTGAGGCAAGACAACTCTGTGCTAATTCTAGATGATGTGTGGCAGCAATTTTGTCTAGAAGATGTTGAAATTCCTATTCTAGATGGAAATAATGGTTGCAAGTTAGTACTCACGACGCAGTTACAACAAGATGTTGCTCGTGCGATGGAGTGTGAGGTGATCTCCGTGAATCCTCTTCCACCTGAAAAAGCATTAGCATTATTCTTGGAGAAAGTTGGAAGTGCAGTGTTGTCAAGTGGCAGAATTAAAGGAGATATAGATCCGTTTTTGAAGCAAATTTTGCAAAAATGTGACGGAGTACCCCTTGCAGTTGTGACAGTAGCCAAAACTATGAGAGGAAAATTGGATCCTCGTTCATGGAAGTGGGCACTTACTAAATTGAGCAAATTTGAAGGAATTATTGATTGTTTGAAATTTAGTTATGAATGCCTAGAATCACAATGCTAGGAGTGTTTTCTATACTGTGCATTATATCCTAAAGATTATGAAATCCCAAGGGAGGAGTCAATTGAGTGTTGGATTGACGAGGGGTTTATATATAAAGAAGGGGAAACTAGGGACACAATGAATTGTGAGGGTCATGTTATGCTTGAGAAGCTGGTTGACAACTGCTTGTTGGAATCAATTAAAAATAGAAGAGTAGACTGCATGAGTATGCATGATCTTTTTCGAGAAATGTCGTTGGATATTAGGCCTCAATTTTTGGTTAAAGCTGGCATTGCCTTGGAAAAGCTACCAAAGGAGCATGAATGGAGAGAAGATCTTTTGAAGGTTTCTTTAATGAGTAATTACATTACAGAAATTCCTTCAAGCATGCCGCCTCCGAAATGTCCTATGCTTACAACCTTGCTATTGTCCAATAACAGGATTTCAACAATTTCAAAAGCTTTTTTTGAGCATATGCTTGGGCTCAAGATACTTGATCTTTCCAACAATCATAAGCTAACTAGGCTGCTGAGTTCTGTGTCCAAATTGGAGAATTTGACTACATTATTGCTGAGGGGTTATGAGTCCTTAAGAGAGGTACCATCTTTATCCAAATTTGTAGGCTTAAAAAAAGTTGGACCTTTCAGGGACATCAGTTGAAGAACTACCCCAAGGCCTCAACATGTTAAAAAATCTAAAATATCTTGGTCTTGGTGGAAGATTATCTGAAACACTTGATGAACTGCTGCAAAATCTCTCCAAACTTCAACATTTACTAGTAATTGCTGATCCCGAAGCCGAAATAGAATATAAATGGGAGACGATTGGAATTTGGGGGAAGCTTCAAAACCTTGAGAAGCTGGATCTTGGTTATTTAGATAACTTGAATATGGTGTTTGGGGAAGTAGGAGCAATTGCTGAGTCAACACCGCTACCAGCTGGCACATTTTCCTTTCTTCAACATATTAATGTTTGGAGATGCGATAAAATAAAGAAGTTATTCTTGGTAAGGTGGTTGGGATATCTCCAGAAATTACAAACTATTGAGGTTATTAATTGTGAGCAACTAGAGGAGATAATAGGGTCTGAATCTGAAGAAGGAGAAAAAGTCACTCTACCCAAGTTAGAAAGGTTGGAATTTACCGGATTGCCCCAATTGAAGACCATCTATAGCGGTTCCTCTCTTCAACATATTAATGTTTGGAGATGTGGTAAAATAAAGAAGTTATTCTCGATAAGGTGAATGGGATATCTCCAGAAACTAGAGACTATTGTTGTTAGTGAATGTGAGCAACTGGAGGAAATAATAGGGTCTGAATCTGAAGAAGGAGAAAAAGTCACTCTACCCATTTTAGAAAGGTTGGAATTTACCGGATTGCCCCAATTGAAGACCATCTGTAGCGGTTCTTTGATTTGTGATTCCATCAAGAAGATTGTAATTGAGTGTTGCGAAAATATAGTGTGTTTTTGGGTCAGGGTTTAACTCACTTTCAAATCTTGAATATCTACACCTTCGCTATTTATGGAATCTGAAATGCGTGTTTGATGAAGAAGTTCTTGGTATATCACCACTTGTGCCTCCCACAAGCTTTTTATCTTTTAAAGAAATTAGGGTTGAATTCTGTGATCAATTAAAGAAGGTATTCTCATCTGGATGGCTGCTCCGTTACTTCCAATCTCTAGAGACTATTGACATTAAGGAATGTTTGCAAATGGAGGAGCTGATATCGTCATCAGCACATGAAGAAGAAAAAGTCACTCTACCCAAGTTACAAAGCTTGCAATTGTTCAAATTGCCCGCGTTGAAGAGCATCTGCAATCGCTCCAGTGTGTTGATTTGTGATTCCATCCAGAGTTTGAAGATTGCCTGGTGCAAGAAACTAAAGAGGATTCCTTTGATTTTTCCCTTGCTTGATAAAGCCCAATCATCTCATCCTCCTTCCCTCAAAGAAATTGTGGTATCCCCCAAAAAATGGTGGGAATCATTGGAATGGGACCATTCCAATGCAAAAGACATCCTTTTACCCTTGTGTAAATTTGAGTTGTGGTAGGGCGCACCGCAAATTTAAGCCTTTTAATTTTCAATTTTCCATTTTTGATTCAACTCAGTAAGAGTTTTCCATTCTTAATAAATATCTCTCTCTGTCATCTATTATTTTCTCCCCCATTGGCAGCAATTGAGATTCGGCTCTGCAACCACAAGAAAGTTGGAGGAAATCACATATGCACTAGTTGTTGTTGCTATTGGGTTTTCAATTTAATATAATCTTTGTTTTTCTTTTGCTGTGTGTGTGTTGTGTGTTTAAGTATGTCCAATTCTAAGTGGAAAACTGGAAATGTTTGTTTCTTTATTATCTGTGAAATGTTGTTTTTGAAATTGTGTGAAAAAAAATACTTGAAACTGTATTTGCTTTTCTTGTGTAATATGTATTTCAGTTGATTGCATTTGCACCTCTTCTCCATTTTTATTCAACAACATCATCATCATCAACAACATTATCTTCTCAGAACCGCCAAAAAAGGACTAACATTCAGCTCAGAATACACTTCTCTTCTTTTCTTTTGCCTTATTTAGGTCAGAGTACACTTCTCTTCTTTTCTTTTGCCTTTTTTAATTAATTAATTTATTTTGTCTTCTAATTGCATGGTCTGAATATGTCTCATGAGCTAAAGTAAATTATTGGTTAAACACTATTATTTCATAAGAGAATTACTTAATGCCCATACTTGGATGTTAGTGGGTTAACATCCATATGTGGACAGGCCAATGTTGGCACTGTGCTACAAAAGCATGCTGGTGATGAGGAGCTACTGGATCACGACTTATCACAAAGCATATATTGTTCTAATACATCATATTTGACACCCAATCCCATGTTGTGAACTTCACTCTTAAGAGCAGAGTAGATTTGCTTGCGATGAATCAAATGATCAATTGTTATGTGGGAAAAAAACAGTTCTTATGAGTGTGTTTCTTTTTCATCAAGTAGATTGGTGAAGGCACTATATATCCCAGGGACATGGTAAGACCTATTTGCTTTGAAATAATCAATATTCAATATTAGAAGGTGTTGGTATCAGCAAGAGCTCAAATTTTTTTGTGGAGAGCTTCAAAATTGGATGTCAAGTTCATTGTAATACTACTTTGAAGGAGAAGAAACTATCCTAGCTTGTCCCTTTTATATGACCATAGGAAGGTATGAAATTTATAATACTATTTTGCAAACGAAGACAGCGACACATTGACCACATTGCACCAAATTAGTTGCAGTTGCATTTCATTACATTGGTGATCTGAATAGGAAAGTGAAAGGGTTATGTCCAGGCAGTGTATTTGACTTTGCTAGGGAATATATCATGGATGCCTTTTAATTTATAAGATGCAGTAAAAAAACTAGAGTAGATGTACAAAACACATTTTGACAAGATTGTCTTAAAGGTACTCAAATCCTGATACTTTGTTACATATTTGATGGCCTCATGTTTATTAGATACTACTACCCTTGTGACAAGTTTATGTGTTTTGTGGATGCAAAAGAAGTATGGAAGCTTATTGGATAATTAAGTTGTTTATATATTCTAAAGTTGTCCTGTTTTGATTTGTAAAAACAGGTCAAACCATGCATAGGTGATTTCTGTTATGTAAACCAGTGGTTTTAGACTCAAGACTTTTTCCTCATACATTTGACACTCTCTGTAAATTTATTGACATAGACTTTTTCCTCAAGACTTTTTCTTAGTTTCAGTAGTCTCTATATTTGCTCTTAAAGATGTCTGCTTTTGCCATGAAAAGATTGACAAGATTTCTAAAGGTGATTGTTTCGTTGGTTACATTTGATTACTCTTGCTTGGTTACTTGCTAACTGTGCTTCAAGGCTGTTACACTGATGCAGCGTTTTATTTGTGGTATTGATACATTATAAGATGTAAGAGCTTAAGAACTTTCTTTGTCCTTAGTTCTTTTGGTTTTGCCATTCATTTTCAGTCCTTGCTTTCTTGCCTCTTATTTGACACCTAGTTTCATTTTCGTTGGTCTCCACATGTGCCATTAAAGATATCTGCTTTGGGCATTAACAGCTTAACTCGATTTCTGAAGGTTACTGCTTGGTTGGTTACATTTGAATACTCTAGCTGTTTTTATTATATCAAATGCTTCTTATTTTTTCTTTTAGGTCAAAATGCAAGTGACTTGCTAATGGTGCTTGGATGCTGTTAATTTATTCTGATGTAGTATTTTTAACTTGTGGTATTTAAGACATATGATGTTACATAGCTGGAAACATTTGCAAATCCATCAAGATGTTTGTTAGAAACAAAGTTAATGTATTTGATTCAAGAAGTAGTGAATTTTTCCCTTTAGTTTGACCAGTGTTTCTATCCAAGGATCATTTTGCTTCAATTAGCAGCAATTTAACTTTGAGTTCATCTAAAACTTTCTCATGGGCCTACTTGATGCATGGGATTTAATCATCAGTGATCTTTCACAGGAAAGTGAATAGATTTTTAAAAGGGAAGGATGGATTGGGAATATGGATGCCTCTTTGTAGAGTGAGGTGCAAAAACTCAAGTGAAAGAAGAACAATGCTATGATGAGCTTGTCTTAAAGGCAACTAATTAAAGTCTCTGTACTTTCTCCCACAATTAATAGCCTTATGTTTTCATTAGATACTCTTGCCATGACACAAGTTTATGTGTTTGGTTGGATGCATGAGAAATAGGAAGCTAATTAAAGCATTTGATATTCATAATTTAGTTGTTGATATACTGGTATACTTTTGTTTCTCTTTTACTTCTGAGACTTCAATTAATACCATATAGTGGGTTTGCATAATCCTAGATAATGTGCTAATTTTCTCTATTACAAACTTACCTCAGATAAATGGCAAAAAGTGCATTTTGGTTTACGTGTATAATTGAAGGGAAATATGCAGTGTTCTAACATGATTAAAGATCAACATACAAATTTGTTTTTGCCTGTGTAGTTATTTAGATCATACAAATAATTATTTTTGACATCCAAGTGTTGGGACATGTATAGCTGTTAATATCACTGAACCATTTGATTCATGGTAAAATTGCTAGAATCTTTCTGCATTTTTGGGTGCATGGATAGGGTATTAGTTGTCTCTGTGGCATTTGGGCTACCTTTTAGTGGTTGTGGATGAGACTTTATGTTATTTAAACTCATCAAAGTGGGTTTTGAATTTATCTTTTAATTTGCAGGGAGAGTCTAGGGTTGAGATGGAAAGATTATTTCCTTCCTGGCTAGAATTTGATGCTTTGAACTGTGGTTGTCTACCAGATTACTGCACAGCTATTTGTCGATAAATTGAGGTACGGCACGATGCGGCCTGAGGTTGGATTGTTTTCATCATCACCAAGTCCTTCCATTTTCAAACATGTGAAAGGAAATTAATTACAAATGCCCCGCCACAATTCATCAATGCTCTTTCTATGTTAAAAGTTCTTAATTTGCATAATATAATCTAGGAGTTTATTTTAAGGAATCAACACCTTGACTAAGGTTATTAAATTTTAAACTCAAATTATTAAATCCTAGAACCATGTACTGACAGGAAGAATCATACATATCATGCCCAATCATTTTGCATGAACAAATTAAATCTAACATTTGAATTCTATTGTCTCACAGATAAGAGTCATTTTTATAGAAATACAAAAAAATACTTTCCGCTGTAGAAGTTATTATAATGCGTGGTAAAGTACTTAGTTGAAATTGACCAAATCCCAAGTCCTTAAACTGGATTCAGGAAGATTAAAAGTCAGATACCTCTTGAAGGAAACCAAAACTTGATTTCAGAGGTGGTACGTTCTCCAGATAAATTGGAAATAAGAGGATCTCCCCCAGGACTGGAGGTTAAATACACTGTCTTTGAATTCTATTGCCTTGTAGATACAAGATTCCTACAAAATTTTACAAGATATAAGAAAGTACTTCCTGCTGCAAAATTTGTTTGAAGACGTGATAAAGTGCTAAAAAATGTATGAAAGTTATTGTAAAGTATCAATATTAAACATTTCTTTTACAGCTCGCCACAGCTGGTAAACGAAATGTTTTACATCTGTCTATGTTGCCCATACATCAAATAATAGCATTGCTTATATTTTATTATCTCGTACCCTTAAAACTTCAATACACATTATCTGTCTAGTTTGCTGCGCTATCTACAAAAGAGAAAATCTGACCCAATATTAATTTTATATCAATATAAACTGTGATTTTATACCATCGAAAGCACATACTAAATGGAATATAAGTAGTGGACTGCAAAAGCCTTAATTAAAAAATTCGAATACTTATGTTATAAAAAAATCACTTAATTAAATTTTCTTCAAAGTTCAAACATTTCTACATCTGTTTATGATATTACCATCAAGAATTTGATGTTAGTATATTACAAAACACCAATTATGGAATGGCAGACCTCTCCTTTATTATTAGGAAGTCTCTTTTAATATAATGGTTAATGTTTTGTAATTTGATATAATGTTAAATTTATAAAATACTGTTTTATACTACTAATTACAATTTCATTTTTAACCGTCTGAGTTAAGTTATTATATATTAAGTTTTTATATCCAGTTGAACAAGAAGAATGCATTGGAAAACAAGAAAAATATGAAAGAGCAATGAACAAAATTAGTTCCATAAATACCGTGTATATATAAGGGCATGACGTCCTCCCGTGCCTGTTCTCGACTTCTTCTAGCTTCACTAACCTGCACACACCATTTTTTCTTGCTTTTATTTTTTTAGTACACTGACTAGTTAGCTTCTTAGTACTACAAAGATTTAAATTTTTAATCATAACTCAAAATTAAAAATTTTAAATTAATAAATACCAATTCAACTAAATTCTTATTAATCTTACTTTTATCAGCCTTGTCAGCATCATCGGCCTCGAATTAAACTAAATTTGGTAAGTATTTTTGATCAGCGACAATGGATTTTCCTAGTTGTTTGACCAAAGTTGGTATCCTGCCATCACCGTTGATCAGTCATAAGTAATTGAGGTCAATAAAGCGTCTCCATAGTATGTAACTAAACACATCCATTTGGCCCAAATTACGACCAAACATATTTGGGTTTGGAATAATTTGGCCCAAATGCAACAGAACCCAGCAATATGATTAGATTTGAATGCATCCCACCTGTCAAATTTTTCCGATTCCAACGGTTGGGATGATCGAACCATTTCGTGACAGTGTCCCAATGAAATTGCCACATCATGTGACATGTCAGAGGTTCAGATACAGATGAGAGAGAGTACATTCTAAGGCCTTCACTTGTGTCACTGCCATCACCGAGAACTCAATTGACAAATCGTCACTTCAGAGAAGCCCTCGCTCAACCTATATTAGGATAAAAATTAGTAAAAGAAAGTAAGGGGAGGGGAAGAGAAGGACAGGGAGAAGAAATGAAGGAAAAAAACAAAAAGTACATATTAATTTTGTTTGGATAAATAAAAATGAAAAAAAAAATATTTTTATTTAATTAAATAATTTAATAAAAAAATAAAATTTTTAAAATTTATTAATTAAAT